GCGGCATCGCGCGCGCCTTTGCTGCGATTGCTTGATTGCATCGTGCATTTGTTCGGAGGAGCTTGTTCCGCCGGGATGGGCAGGCCATGCGCATGTGCACGGGCACTCGAAGGGTACCGATGTTTCTTCCAGTTTTATGATTATTCGTATTGGTTCTCCCTCTTTCTCTTTCTCTTTCTCTCTCTCTCTCTCTCTCTCTCTCTCTCTCTCTCTCTCTCTTTCTCTCAGTCTGGGCTTCTCGAGCAGAGACATTCTCAGGCGTCGCCCATGTTTCGCTGATCGCCCATCGCGCCTGATGACGAAGCGCGCGTCGTGCCCGCGTTCCCCCCCCCTCCGCCGTCGCGTGCAGCTGGGTGCAGGCGTAGTCCGACGCGCGTGGTCCAGCTTGGATGCACGCGGAAACATCTTTCATGCGGGAGCGGTCGTGCAGAGGATGCGACGTGTTTCGGCCAGGTCCATCGAGGAAGAGATGCGCCCCTCCCTCAACAAGACTTTGTGCACTTGTGCGTGCAGGAGCTGCGGCGCGTTGTTGGCTCCAAGTGCATATCGCAGTATAGTGCGCGCGATTGCTGTGCGATGGTCTGTGCATGACTTGCGTGCACATGTATGTCGCGCGATGCGCATTGCGTGCCACTGTGCTTTCTCTCGCGCAAGTATCGCACAATGGTAGGACAAGTGCCGGTGGAGGGTGCGCATGTGGACTTGCGCGAGTGTCTGAGCGGTGCGCGCAGAGTAAGGCAGTGGCGTCGTTAGGTCTTTCTTTCTCGTGCAGGTTGGGTCGGTCAACCTGCAGATTCTCGGCGACATCCACTGGCTCATGCTCATCCTGCTTGGGCGCGGTAGCTTTGGGTGCGGCGTCCAGCAGGCAAAGGCTCGCGCCGTGTACGTTGCGGGGGGGGGCCACCAAGCGGCGCGCTGACTTCCCGGGGGAGTTCATTATGCCAGAATCAGCGCCGAGCAAGTGGACGTGGCTGCCGCTCACCGCGCGGTTAGCGACAGCTTTTGGGCGGGAGAAACTCCACCAGAAACCGGGCGTGGCGATCGAGGAGCTGCCCCGGTGCAACGCAGAAGAGGACGCCGGCGCGGCCAAGGCAGGCTATGACTACATCGGGGCCACTGGCGGGTACAAGGTGCACTTGCGGGACGGCGTGGCAGTCCGCGTCCGATTCAGCAAGGGCCCCGCTGGCCAGCTCCGCACAGAGTGCAGGATTTCCTCGCGCTGGCACTTGCCGACCCCCATCCAGAAGCTCCTCGAGGCCGTGGATCGTGTCCTCACTTACTTCAAGGACAGGCAGCACGACGAGATCCCTTTCGCAGAGGAAGCGCGGCAGTATCTCCTCGGCTGCCAGCTCGAGCAGAACCTCTCAGGGGGCGGCGCCCAGAAGGTTGGCGATGCCACTGGCGCTGCGCAGCGTGTTCAGGCGGCCAGCCAGATCGGGATCTACTCTGGAATGCTTGCCGTCCTGAGGTTGGCGGCGACGCCGGCCCCCCAGGCGCCCTCGCCCATTCAGATCGACCTCAATGTTCCCCTTCCCTGAAACGAAGGAGGATGAGGATTACTACGTTACCAGCCCTATTACAACATATGTGTTTGCCGCGTTGACTAAAGTCTTTGTGTGACAGCTTGTCGGGGCGTTCCCATCGGCGCTGCCCGGAAAGGGCGGGCGGGCGGCCAGGTCGGGGCCCCCTCTGGGGTGCTCCGCCCCTTGGGCGCCGTCGCCCATTCACGTCGTACCTAGGGATCTATTCCAGGATGGGGGCTGCGTCTATCTTGACCCTCTGTAGTAGCCATGCACTGCTGCTGCCAGTGCTCCTACACTTGTTATTGAATCGCTTTGCTCATTCCGCCGGCCCGTGATATGGCATCGCTGGTTTTTGTCTGTGTGTTCGTTGCCCATGTTGCGCTCTTGGGGGCGGGTGTCGTTCGGACGCGTTGCGTGGGGAGTTTTGATGGTGAAGCAGTTCCCTGGGGGTCGTCTCTCGATGGGGCGAAATAGAGTCGTCGTCAAGATGCTTCTTTGGGGGGCCTCTTGGGGTCTGTTGAGAGGCCGTTCGGGGGCGCCTGGGAGACATGTTTGAAGCCTTCTGGGGCTTCTTTTGGGCCTCCTGGGAGTCTCCTGGGGCCTCTTGGCGACATCTTGGGGCCTCTTGGAGGCCTCTTGGGGCCTCTTTGGGACCTCCTGGGCGCCTTCTGGGGATGGAGGGCTCCATTTTTGAGTTCTCGGTATCCCTCCTGAGTCCCTCTTGGGCCCGTCTTGGGGCCTCTTGGTCCGTCTTGGGCGGCACTTGGGCCGTCTTGAGGGCTCTCTTGGGTCGTTTCGGCGCCGTCTTGGGAGCTTCGTGGGCCGTCTTGGAGCGGTCTTGGGGGCCTCTTGGGCCGTCTTGGAGCGTCCGGAAGCCGAAAAAGCCAGAACACAAAAAACATCGAAAAAACCAATGAAAATCAACGATTTTGGCCTCTTGGGGCTCTCTTCGGAGGCCTCTTGGATGGCTCTTGGGGCGTCTTGGAGGCCTCTTGGGCTGTCTTGGGGGCCTTTTGGGCCGTCTTGGGGTCATCTTCGGCGTCTTCGAGCGCTCTTTGGGCGTCTCGGGGGCCTCTTGGGCAGTCTTGGGGGCCTCTTGGGGCACTCTGAGCGCGCTCTGGGGAGCCTGAGAGGCCGCACCCAGAAGGAAAACCATCTCTGAGTAGACTTGGTCGGGCGGCGACCGGGCGTTGGTCGGGGTACTTTTCGCCGGGGGACCCCCAGGGGCCGCCCCGCGCGCGCGAACTAGAAATACTGTTAATACTGTTAACCAGTTACCGGAAATCTTAGCACGCCCTGGCCCGTTGGGCCGGCGAATTTTCATTACTTTCTGCCGCGGCGCAACTTCCTTTCCCGAGGACGTCGAGCTCGCGGAGGTGGTGATCCGAGTCAGCTTGCTCACCAAGAAGGCCCTCCGTGACGGCGACGCCTCTCCCGGGGGTGGCGCCGTGGCCGAAAGCCCAGGGGCGCCCGTGTACGTGGCGCCGGCGCACCACGTTGTCGCCCTGGACGAGGGCCGCGCTGACTTCGAGGCCCCGTTCGAGAGCCAGCGCGTCGGGGCAGGCGTGCTCCCCAGCCAGGCGCCGCCCCGCGCCGGTCCACCGGTGCGCCGGTCCGCCGGTGCGCCGATGCTCTGGTGCGCTGGTGTTCCTGTCTACCGGTCCACCGGTCTACTGGTCCACCGGTCCACCGGTTCGCCGGTCCGCCAGTCCACCGGTCCATTGGTCAGGACGTGCAACTATTTCACCATCGCGCCATCATCATCCACCATACTTCATCCATCATCCATCATTTGGCATCCACCGTTCATCATCGTTATCACAGCAGCAGCAAAATCGGTGTCACCCAACACCGACAATCATTAATTATCTGCTCGCTTCATCCGCTCGTGTGCCACTCAATATGCATATCCCCGACCCCTCGATACCCGCCTTTGTCGTTGTCGACCGGGCCCCTTTTCGGGGCATATTTCCGAAAAAGGCGCCCATGGGTGCCCCTCCAGTTCAAAGGGGGGGGTGCTCGCACACCTCCCCTACCCCCCCTTCTCTGAAGAGGGAGGACGGGAATTTTCGCCTCCCCCCCTCCCCCCGTCTTTGAAACGGAGGGTAAGGGTTTCGGACCCAACCCTTTTCGCTGGACGGAGGGTGGTTTCGGACCCCCTCCTCCCCCCCCTTTGTGCCGGAGAGGGCTCGGGGGGAGTTTTTTTGTGTTGCACAAAAGGGTCGTGAGCGGCACTGACTTCCATCGTGAAAAGGCTTAGACTGTGGGTGAAGGCTTGAGAAGGCGATGTCGAGATCAGTGGATGTGCATCGCGGAGCTGTTTTTATGTAGCGGACCGTGAGCGGCACATATTTCCATCTTGAAATGTTTAGATCGTGAGCAGCACAGTAACGGACCGTGAGCGGCAACGTGGTGGAGACTTCTGCTGTCCGCACATCCAAGCATTTTTAGGATAAACACACAAACACACATAACATGTATCTTCCCAGGAGCATATGGAACAGAGGGGAAGTGGAAGGGAAGACGACAATCGTGACGACATCCTCGGATGTGTGTCTATTGCTTTGTGTGCCTCTGGGCCCCTTCACAATTGGAGGGCCGGATTTTTGGGAGGCCCCCCATATTGGTATGGAAATAATGAGGGCGAATACCGTACTCATCATGAAGGCCCAGATCGGTAACACCGACACCAGTTCCTACTCATCATGAGAAGGGATCGTTGTTGGTTTCGCCGCGGACGTGGTTCATTCGAGACAGAGAATCGTCTGCCCAACAGCGGCCGCTGTCTGTTTGGGACAACGTCTGAGCATCGTACCCACTTTGTCCGTAACCGTTTTGAGCGTCCAAACAGTTGAGGTTCGAGTAGGTCGGGTCGGAGGATCGCACCGCACCGACACTATATATTCGGGCCCCATCTGGGAGGCCTCTAATGATTTCAAGAGGACCACGAAGTTCCGACGACCCCCAGTCGAGGTGAGGAGCCCATGGGAGTTGCTGGGGCGAGGTCCTAGAATGTCTGCCGTGACGTTGTTTTCGGCCATGTTAGGCTGAAATATGGGTGGGAGGGGGACAACCAATCATCTCACACAACGACGAATTATCGGCAGCAAAAAAGTCGCGAGCCGACGTTTCTGCAGCGCCCCGAAGCGAGCGCCAACACAAAGTCTCCGACTGTTTTTTGTTTTCAACCGGGGCGTCTTGTTCCATTGGGCCCATCAGATATGAACCCCGGACGGAAAGTTGTTTCCATCAGGGGCATCGCCAGGGGGTGATGGTCTTTGGGCGTGGCGCATCGGCTCCCAGAAGCCAAGTCATCGCCGATAGGGGCCCTATGGCCTTGCGTGCGTATTCGCTGTCGGGGGCCTATCGTCGATCTATCGGCGATGTATCGCCGATTCCAGGTCGACGTTTCCTCCCTGAGCCGGTTCCCCCGAACGTTGCCCCTCACCCCAAGGAAGGGGTTGGGACCCCTGGGGCCTCGCACCGAGCAGATGTCCCATCGTCGGATGTCTGAGAAGGCGAGCGGCCGCTGGCGACGGCGGCGGCGGCGGCCGCCGCGGCGCCACCAAAGTGGCTGGCCACGCCAGCAGGAGGCCTGGCCCGGGGGGAAGTCCCCGATCTCCGGCGGTTCGGGCAGCCATCGCCTTGAGCCATCGCAGCGCGGAGGTGCTTCGGCCTCCTGGGGCCCCTCGCTGGGCCCCCGGGTTGTCAAACAACGGCTCAGGATGAGAGCGGCGCTCATTCCTCGTTCTAGGGGCCCAGGACTGCACCCGCCTCCCAAGTGCCCAGGCACAGGGCAGGGACCTTCCCAGACCCCCGACGTCATGATTTCTCTTTCGTGCCGTCGACCCCCAGAGGTCTCGACCTCGCTTTTTAGACCCCCAGGGGCCGAAAATAGCAAAAATCCGCCCGCTGTGACTTTTTGATGACCCGAGGGGGGCTGGCTTCCGGACCGCGCATGGAGAAGCTCACGTCGTCGGATGTCTGGGAATGCCTCCTGAGGGGCCTGGGTCGTGGAGGTTGTCCGTCGACGTTGAGCTCCCGAGGCCCTTCCTGGGCCGCAGGACCGTCAGAACAGCGGCTCAGGAAGGGGCGATGACCGCGGGGAAACTTGCGGAGTCAGGACCCGCTCCATCCCGGGCCTGTCTCGAGGCCTCCGCCGCCATGATTTTTCCGCAGCGTGTCGGACGGGGCCAGGATGCGGATAGATCCATTCCAAAGCCGTCCGGAACGCTCTCAGAGCGTTCCAGAACGCTCTGAGAAGGCCGTGGCGCCCGAGACATCTTCCGGAGCCGCCTGATCTCAGATATTCCCGGTCTACCCTCACCCGATTTTGTCTTCGTCCTGGCTCTGTCTTAGCCTGGCTCCCTGGAGGCTTGGGCCCCTTTCCCTTCCTCGGGACGGGTTTAGCATCCCGAGCCGCTCCACTTTTTGACGGCCCTGCTGCCCCCCCCAACCCAGAGGTCGAAGATTGGGGGCCAAGGCCTCCCGCCTTTATCCAGGGGAAGGAAATATTTAATGGACATCCCCCCTTCCCCAAATTCAAAGTTGGCACGCGCGGGGAAGTCTGCTGTCGAAGTGCAATTCATCCGAGATCCACTGCCAATTCTTATCATTGCGGGCATGAGCGTCGAGGACCAGGTTCTCCAGATACCCGTGACGGGATCTGGGAGGCTTGTGGAAGGTCATGGAAGTTCCAGGATCTCCCCGGAGGCCCTTCTGGGCCCGAGGGGAGTCCGGGGAGGCTCTTGCGGGGGAGGAGGAGCTGGGTGAGTTGGGTCGGACTCGGGTGGGTCCTAAGGCCACTCCCAAGCCACACTCCCCTCATGAGCCCGTCTTCCACGACGGGAAGAGAAGATGTAACCTGTGCTTCAGATACCTCGGCCGCAAGGCGGTTCCCAGCCCTAGCTGTAATGGCTTGAACCCGTCGCTTGCTTGTTTTTTGGATGGTCCGAGGAATCACCATAACCTCCACGTGGCTTGGGTCGAGAATTCTGGGTTGCCTGTGGTGCATTGCATACGGTGCGGTGCTTTCACCACGTGCAAGGCGGGCCCTAAGCTGCGTGGAATGTGCGACGGGAAAGTTTCGTCTGAGAGTAGGAAACTCAAACGAAGGATCCTACCAGGAACAGACCTTACTTTAACCAATTCCGTAGCTCTCCCGCCCCGAGGCCGTGAGCTCAGGGAGGCGAGGAGACCTACGTAATCTTCTCCTTTCTCTTTCCCTGTGAGTGTGCTGTGCTTGTACGGTACACCACCAATTTGAGTAACTGAGTAACTGAGGAGGAGGAGGAGGAGGAGGAGGAGGAGGAGGAGGAGGAGGAGGAGGAGTAGGAGGAGGAGACGGAGGAGGAGGAGGAGAAGGAAGAGGAGAAGGAGGAGGAGGAGGAGGAGGAGGAGGATGAGGAGGAGGAGGAGGAGGAGGCTGGGTCTCCCTTTGAAAACGCCCCAAGGCTGAAGGGTAACGCTGCCACCAGCGCCGCGCGCTCCGCCCCCCGCCAGCGGGAGCGGCTGCAGGGCGGCGGCCGCGGCGACGGCGGAGCCTGCGGCGACGCGGCCGGCAGCAGAGGTGAGGGACCTCGACGGGTCGGGACGATTGCAATGGGTACGGAGAAAGGGGGCACAAAGATCGACAGCACTTCCTGTTCATCTTGAGCAGGGCTCGCTGTCGGTGTCGCCGCGGACTTTGTGCCTGCCCAGCAGAGGCCGCCGCTGTCGGTTCTGGGCAAGATCTGTACTTAGGCATCGTCATCATCATCATCATCATCATCATCATCATCATCATCATCATCATCATCATCATCATCATCATCATCATCATCATCATCATCATCATCATCACTTTTCCGCACCCATTTCGGGCGGAGGGGTAATATGGAGATGGATCTGGATGGGTCGGTGACGGGCCCGGGCCCCGATATAGAGAACCCGCACGTGCCTGAGCGGGGTGGGCTGTCGGGCCCCTATTGGCGATGAATCGGCGATTGGGGGTCGATGCGTACCCCCTGAGCCCCTCCTAACGTTCTGAGGAACAGCAGCAAAAAGCTTTCGGAGATCCGCGCTGCTTTCTCAGATCGGCACGTTTCCTGTGAGCCTACAGCCCTTAACGTTTCGAGGAACAAACAATTCAACGTTCGCAGGTCCGCGCGGATTTCTCGGATCGCGCTGGATCCCCCTCCCTGGCGCGCGGAGCACGCCAGGGGCGGCGCCAGACGATGGCAGGGGATTCCAGCGACGATCCGAGAAATCCGCGCGGACCTCCGCAAGTTTATCTTCCCTGAGACCCGACGCAGACATTTGATACAAAAGACCGCCTGCCCAAGATTGACCGCTCTCGGTTTTGGACAACATCTGTTGTCGGGCATCGTTTAACTTCGGGCGTCCAAACAGATGTGATCCGAGCAGATGGGGTCGGAGGATCGCACCGCATCGCCGATGCATCGTCGATGCGGCTCGACGTGGAGCCCGACGTTTACCACGCCGACGGCGCCGATGCATCGCCGACGTCACCGATGCACTGCCGATGCATCGGCGACCGCCAAACAACAAAAAAACAACTGCCTCGAGGTAGCGCCAGGGCCTCCGGCGGCACCTCCTGCAGCAGGGGCGCCGCGCGCGCGCCCCCGCCCGCCAGCAGCCCGCGTGCCCCAGCGGCCCTGCGCAGCCCGCCAGGCAGCCCGGCGCCCGCCGAGAAGCCCGAGGGCCCGGCGCCCGCCGAGGAGCCCGAGCGCCCGGCGCCCGCCGAGCGGCCCGAGGGCCCGGCGCCCGCCGAGGAGCCCGAGCGCCCGGCGCCCGCCGAGCGGCCCGAGCGCCCCCCGGCGCCCGCGCGCCCGGGCGCCGACGGCGAGAGGAGGCCGGCGGCGCGCACTGGGACCCAGAGGAGTCGGGCGTTGCTAGAAGTGCCCCTGGCCTGAGCTGCCCCCGGGAATTCCAGGGAGGCCCCCACGGGCTCCAGAGCACCCCTCACGGGCCCCAGGGGCTCCAGAATGAAGCGAAAACCTGGGGGCGCGTTGGACCAGGGTCACCTTTCGCATTGTCGGACGGGGCCAGGACGCATTCCAGAGCGTTCCAGGACGTTCTGTGAAGGCCGCGGTGCCCGAGACATCCTCCAGAACTGCCCGGTTTCAGAGATTCGTCTTGCTTCGTCTTATACTGGGGCCCAGAGGAGGAAAAGGTACAGTAGGTCCGCGTCTTGTCGACGCGGCGGCGACCCCGTTGACGCCTGCGGCGGCGGAGAATCGGTCGATGTTGAAAGATCTGACGTTTCGGCAACGGCTGATGGTTCAAGGCTGCACTGTGGGGGCAGATTGGCCGTGTGCGGCCCGTACATGATATCTTGGTATCAAAATATCTCTAAACAGGGGCGGCCATCTGGATATCTCGATATCCATGCATCTCGTTCTAGGAGCAGTTTTCTCGATATCTTGATATTTCGGTATCTCGATCTATCGATATAGGGGCTCGCCGACTCGACTTCACGATATCTCGATATTGTAGAGGCCTCCGGCCTGTGCCGCCGATCCGGGTCGATCCCGCTGTCAGAAGGACGCTTTTGCCCTAGCGTGCTTGCTCAAACGTAAGTGGTTTGGAAACAGCTTGGAGGCATTGCGTGGGCTTCTTGAGGGGCCTCTACGACGCATCTTCGAGGCCTCCTGGTGGGGGCGTCTTGGAGGTGATTGTTGAGCCTCTTGGGGGCCTTTTGGGCTTCTCGGGAGGCATGCAGGAGGCATCCTGGAGGCCTCCTGGGGGTGTGTAGGAGGTTTTTTTTAAGCCTTCGGGAGCGCTTTTGGGCGCCTTTTGGGAGCCTCTTGAGGGCCACTTGGAGCCTCTCGGGGTTTCTTGGGGACTCCTAGGGCCATTTTGGTGCCTCCTGGGCGCCTCTTGGGCCGTCTTGGGCCCTTCTGCCGCCGTCATGGAGCCCTCTTGCGCGCTTCTTGGGCCCGTCCTGGGGCCGCTTGGGCTGTCTTGGGGGCCTCCCGGGCCGTCTTGGGCCCTTCTTGGGCCGACTTGTGACCCTCTTGAGAGCCTCTGGGCCTGTTTTGTTGGTCTCTTGGGCCGTGTTGGACACAGCGAAGGCCGAAGAAGCGAACATGCAAAACATGCACGTTTTCCGTGGGGAATGGGACAGACTTACCGTCTTTGGGCACTCTTAGGAGGTGTCGGGAGGGTACGTTGGAGGTTTTTGGAGCCGTCTGAGGAACATATTGAATGTCTTGGAGCGATGTTTCGGCCACTCAGGGCCCTCTTGGGCCGTCTGGGCGGCCGCTGGGTTTTTTATGAGCCCGCGTTCGAGCTCTCCGGGGCGAGGGGCCGACCCGCAGTGAGCTGGAGCGCCGATTTTGCCACCAAAACTGACTCGGTACCACCCCCCCACCCCCCCAGCCCCGGCAGAGCCACCCCAGCACTCACCCCCCCAGCAGAGCTGAATCTCAAGAACTGAGGCTCAGGCTATATCTGAGGGTCTTTGAAGCTCACACGCCGGATCGGCGGATTTTGATGTCTCGATGGGGGTGGGAGACTCTAGGCTTCGAGATCTCGACATCTCGATATCGCAGGAGGGCTTCGATACCTCGACGTCTAGAATCTAGAACAACAGGGCGTGGAGGCCAATGCTTCCGTGTCGACGGCGGCCGATGTCCAGCGGGCCCCTGCTC